CCCCAAAACCCCAAAACCCCAAAACCCCTTAACCAACCAATCAATTGAAAACTCTAACTTATCCCTTAACCACTAAATCAAACTGCTGTCTCCACTAAGATACGATGGCTGGCTCATATCAAGATTAGTTCTATCATCATCTCCAGCCATAAGCGCATACATGTCTTCCTCTAAACTCTCTCATCATACAGACTTACCCATTTCCTTCTTGTTCTCTCTCTTCTTAACGTACGTATTGGAGTCATCCCCATATCTGAAAATGTAGTTGGACATCAGCCTACAGGTCAGAGGAGGACTTACTCTTCACGCTTCTGGAATATGTGATAAGGGAGGTGAAGGAGAGGGGATAGAAGGGATAGGAGGGATTTTAAGGGAAGAGAGGGGAAATTGGACCCAGGAAGTTGGAGGAGGTTACTTACCTCAATTTCGGATTTTACAATTTTCATGTTGCTTTCTAACTTGTCGACTGTAGTTTAGAGGTGAGTATTCAGGAGGGGAGGAGGGGAAAGGCTAGACATACCTCATTTCTGGTCAGTAATCACTTCATTATCTTTATTTTAACTCTTGTATGGAGCTGTTGATTAGGTATCAAAATATACCTGATCAAGTTTTTAAATAGTAAATTAGAAGTTTCATGGACTGCTACGAGCTTAATTCAATCAACAACAGCATAGATAAAGCTATAAGTCAGTTTCTCACCTTACCTCTTTTCTATTACACTGAGATACAAATAGATGAACGAAATTCTAGAATCATTAAAGATGATCTAAAGGGTAATCTCAAAACTTACCTCTCTGATAAACTTATAAGTTTCGCAGATGAAGGCAATTATCTTTAGATATGCCTAAAGAATGATTTTCTAGCTTACATCTTCCATCTGGTCGTCAGGACACAAGTAGTTCATTTCTCTGAAATTTTGGAGTTCCATAATCCACTCTTCAAGTACCAAAGGAAGATCATCTTTACAGAGCACTTTCGAGAAGACAATCTTCAGGAAGGAAATGAGCTCTTCAGTATTATTTTTCAAACAGCTATTAAAAATAAGTTTCTCATTAACAAAGAGTGATTTATAAACCACAAAGATATCATTAATAGTAGAAACTGACTGGGTTCTACTTTAGCCATGGAGACAACCCAAGCTTCTGTTAAGGCAAAAGTTCTTTTAGGGCTCCTAATAACATTGCCGCTGCAACTTAGTTCCTCCAAAAGGGTTGTTGTCTGATGAAGCAGTGGGGCTGAACCAACAAGGAAATTATAGATTTTAAAACAGTAGTGAGATAAACAAAGAATAATATTTGAACTACCTTTCCAGAAGTTTTACTCCCTTTTAAAACTTTATCTGCCATAGTTTGGATCCTGACAGATTTTTGACTGCTATAGGGAGGTTATTCAGAATAAGTTTGCTTGAAAATTAGTACTTGATAAATTTTGAAAATAGATTTTAGTGAAAAATTAGTAAAATTTTACAAAATGATATGGTGTAATATGAAAAATTGAATTGGAAATTGTTAATTTAGAGTTTGAATGAATTACAATATTTAAAATTATAATGAATAAAAGGCAAAATTATTGGTTAAAACTTCCAAAGGAGTTCTTATTAAAAAGATTACTTACGTGAGTCTGGTGATCATCTTTCTCATATTGCTTAATCTACTCGAAGCTGTCGACTTCTTTGACTAAAATAAATAAACTCCATTATATGAAGATCCGGACTCTCTTTAAAATTTGCTCTCAAAAATCTAAAATACCAGATTTGGCTTCAACTAGTGAATAAAGCAGCATGAAAACAACTCTTTCTTACCTTAAATGCCTGCATTCTTAATTTTTTATAATTTTTTTAAATACAATAGCATTTAGCCTTTAAGGGGTTTTGGGGTTTTGGGGTTTTGGGGTTTTGGGG